CCCCGCCATGGCGGTGGGGTCTTCTGGGGAGTATGTGGCAGGAGAGGGCATGGGACAGGCTCCTGGGCTGGTCCCCGCTGTGCCACCATCCCCAGAGCCACGTGCCATACCGAGACAAAGTCTTGGTGGCCACCAAACCCAGGCAGGGACATGGTAGGGCTAAGCCACTGGGTCTATGGGGAGATGGGAAGGGCCAGGACCCCCCAGCCAGGGGATGCCAGGGGGTGCCAGGGGTTTCAGGTTGGGTTTCTGACCAGCCAAGGGGTTGTCGTGCCCTTTTGATCCCACACCGGCCCTTCACATCCTTCGGGTCTCAGCTGGAGCTTCCACCAAAATAAATATTTTCCCAGGAGGTTTTTGCTAGCTGAAGCTCTTGCTTTGGCCGGAGCCTCAGGCAGCAAGGCTGGACCACGGGCTGATGAGTCGCTGGGGAGGAAAAGCTCCCCAACCTTTCCCAAACTGCCCTTTTCCCCCACTAGGAATAAACCCAAACCGTCGTGGCCAATTCACTTATTTTCCTGCATGACGTCTCCTCATCAGTTCCTAATTTAACTGAAAGAGTTTGCACATCCCAGAAGGAAAAAATAGTAATTCTTCAATCAATTACAGATTTTCCCAGGGCTAAGGCAAGAGCCGGATCCTGCTGCTTTTCTGCCTCTCCAGCTCCTCCAGCGCTGGACCATCACTCATCGGCTCCCTTCAACCACCTCCTCCCATGGCCTCGCTCTTTATTTTTAAAATATGATCACTCGATGATGTTTTTTAAGAGGAGCAGGGGTCTGCAGGGATGGTGTTAACATGAGGATTTCTGCTAGCCCCCGAGTTCCTGGGCTTTCTTACTAAACCTGCCTTGGGAAATATTCAGATTTGATTTGCACTGACTGTCAATACGTATTTTAACGCTGATCTGATGCTCTGGGCAGCTGACCCAGCAGTGGCACCCTGTCTGGAGCAGGATGCCAGTCCCTTGCCCACCTCCGGCCATGGTGCCACCCCTCCTGCAGCCCCCCGGGCTCTGCGGTGTCCCTGCAGCATCACCACGCCAGGTCTGTGGTCTGGATCCAGCCATTGACCACCTGGAAAGATGCTGGGGACACAAGATTTGCAGGCTCCCTGCCACCAGGTCACGTTTTATCCCTTTGCCTCAGTTTCCCCTCGGTATGAAACAGGGTGGTCCCAGCAGAAGGAGCTCACTTCTTGGACTCAGTCTTTCCAGAGTTGCAAGCAGGGACAGTGTGACACAGGGGAGGGACACAGGAGGTTTAGCCCAAGGTACTCAATGAGATGCTTGGGACTATGATTTTTTTTTTTTTAGAAAACTCTTGTTTCCCCAGGGCAAGGAGGTGGGAGATGTCATCTTCGGCCAGCATGGCTCTCACTCCATGCCCGGGGAGGCTGTACACCCCTTGGGATGGGGTGCTGGTGCCCTGCGTAGGCTAGGAGCACAAACCCTTACAGAAATGAGCTTACTGAGATGAGGATGATCCCCAGAGCATCCTCCAGCCCTGCAGCCCCTCCGCTGCCGAGGTCCCTACTCACACCATCGCCACCAAGGTGGGAGAGACTCTGGCTGGAGGATGCAACGGTGCTCATAGAGCTTTACCCTTTGGACCACAGCAAGCCCAAACCTCGCCTCCAGACCCCACCACACTCACAGGGACCTCGGAGTGGGATCAGCCAGGGAGACGCCGGGCGCGGGCGGCCCCTTACCAGAATCCGACAGAGCTGGGCTCACCAAGCTCAGCAGCTCCCGCTCCTTCTCATAGTCGCCCTTACAGAGGAGCTGCCCCTCCTTCAGCACAAACTCGTCGCCCTTCTGCAGGCGTCGCTCGCAGACGCAGCAGCAGAAGCAACGCAGGTGATAGACACTCTTCTGGGCGCGCATCACCAGCTCGCTGGGCGCGATGGCCTCCAGGCACCCGGCGCACTTCACTGCGAAGAGCCTGGGGGAGCAAGAGGAGATCCCGCTGGGACGCCTGGCAGCACCATGACTGCACCTGGAGGGTGGCATGGTGCTGGGGACAAGGGACGGGGCACCCGCGGTGGGGAGACAGGCATCAGTGCAGGATCACTGTGTCACCCCATTGGTGCTTCGATTGCGTTGAGGGGCTGGGGACAATGGTGCTGGCACCCCGCAGGGACACGGCATGTACTGCAAGCTTGCCATGTGCCAATGGGGGGGATGCTGTCTTTGGGTCAATTTTGGTTGACCTGTTACCAGGTGCTCACCATGAATGCGGTCAAAGGACAAAGACCCCAATATCTGGATGCCCCAAGTGAGAAGAAAACAGGCATGAAACCCAGTAGTCCAGCTACCGCCACCACAAGACATGAGACACACCACAACTACGTGAGTTCTATCGAGCCAACCGTACAAGTCCGCCTGCCTCTGGCTCATGTCTAGACATAAGCAGATGCTGGAGATGGCAATGGGGCCAAAGAGCTCATTTGTGCCTCTCAACAAGCACCTGCAGAAAGCACCCGCACTGTCAGTCACCCACAAACCACCTTGTTCTTCTAGCCTGTGTCAACAGCAGGACACTGCAACAGCCCTGTTCCTTGTTGCCAAACACATCAGGAACGTCTAATATGTCATAAAATTCTCCACGGCAGCAAGTTCTCGGTTAATGCCAGTGACAGACTGAAGACTTGATGTGTCAAAAGGAAAAGAAAAAGCTCAGCTGGTTCCTTGACATTGATGGGATGGTGTTTGAGACATCTCCAATTGTACAGTTCCCAGGTTTCAACTGGTTTCAACACTAGCTTAATACTTAAAAGCCAATAATAATAATGGTGGCAATAACACTTGGGTTGAAACAGACCTTTCCTTTCTCTGATTCTAAATGTCCTTACCGAGGAGCTCAGTAGCACGATCAATGATTTACAGCTAGGGAAACTGAGGCAAGCAGAGTGGAGGTGGCAGCATCAATGTTGGCTTGGGAGGACTTGGAAGCACCTGGAGCTAAACTCTGGGCTGGATGCTCTAAGTGAATGGGATGTTTCCTCCAATACAGATGTTCGAAGGTGCTGAACCAGAACATCTTTGCCACCCCCAGATATTTGTCTTTTTGGCTTGGGCCTCATAAAGAAAAAAAATCACTGTTTACCCGGCCTCGTCCGAAATATCTGTGGGAACTGTACGTTATTATTCCCCTGTCCTGATGACTTTGGCCCAGAAAGAGAAGCCAGAAGTCAGCACGCATCCTGCAGAGGTTATCTCCGAGCATTGCCTCTGACCCTGCCTGGGCATGCCCCGGGAATCTGCGTGAGGAACGTTGCATCCAGCCATCCGCTGGCCCCGCATGGCTCCCACCTCCATGGTCCCCATCCCACGTGTCATCCCTGGGGGAGATCTGGGGCGCCAGGGGGCTGTGGGGATGGGGAGGGGATGGGCAGCCCTGCAGCCAGCAGCAGCTTTCAATCCTTTCTCTTGTTTTGCCTGTCACAAAAAAAAGCACATAGTAAATGAAAAGTGCTGACTCAGCCCCATTCCAACAAGGAGGGGACCAGGCGAAACCCCCTGCAGCAAAACCATCAAGAAAAGGGGATAATTTTTAAAAAGTTTTTGTGATAAGCTCGATAGCCCATAAAACAAGGAGATGAGGGGCAGAGCAAGGCACGTGCAGGAACGGAGGATGACGCCTGCATCCCCGCGCCGACCGGGGCCGCAGAGCATCACCTCCCGGAGCCCCGAGCTCCGGAGGCCAACAGCCGAGGGCTCAAAGGGCTGGGAATGAGGTCCCTAAATGCATCCTCACTTTATCAGTGTCGGCTCCCTCCTGCCTTGGCGAGTAGGAAAGGGATGTTATCCCTACCTATTATGTAGAAAGCTTCTACAAAACACTATTGTTGCTACAGAAAGTGGAAAATTGTCAAATAAAAGTTGGAGGTTAGGGAGTGTGTAATTCCAGATAATGCCATTAGTAGCTTTTATTTTTGTACATTCAACTTTAACTGCCCAGGTTTACACGCAACTGTCTTTCTCTGAGGTATCTGTATTTTCAAAGTCCCTACGACTGTCCTGGGAGGAGAGGGATGTATATTCCTTTGAAACATCCCTTCCGAAGGGTCGTTTTCTCTTGTTCCAGCTCTTGTGTTAATATTGCTGCGGTCGTTTCATCTTTAACGATGTCTCTTTTATGTCAGAGCAGAGGCCATTTGTATTCATCTGGTAACGCAGCCTCATCCCGTTTAAATGAAGTTTAAACCCTACCTGTTTGGATTCCCAACTGCTGTCAGTAATAAAACCCTGATAAGCTATTACGTTAGCGCTATCTAATCTCCATGAATGAATGTGCCCCAAATCTCTATTTCCAGGGCGCTGATTACAGAGCCATAAACCTTTGCCAATTAGGCACAGCAGCACCAGCCGAGCGATGGATGTTTCCGAGCCCAAAGCGCGTCGCAAAACAAGGAGGTGTGAGATTTAGGCAAACGGTTGCCTAATATTAGACATTAAAGCCATACTTAGGTTGACGAATAAATGACTTAATTTCCAAACTGAGTCCCCAGTGGCTCCCACTGAGGGATGCGGGAGGGACAGGGCATCTTTCACCGCCCCGTGAAGGACTGCCCCATCCCTGGGCAACATGAGATGCGGAGAAATCCCCGTAAAATCTTCTCCACAGCGTGAAACCGTGAAGAGCTCCTTATAACCCCACAATAAAGCCAGATCTTAGGCACTAAAATGTCACGGGCATAAAAACTGCAGCCTACCACAGGTAGGAATGGGGAGAGAGGAAAGGGCATCGCTGGTGTCTCAGCTCCCTACAGCCCTGGACCAGCCCTGGACAGTACCAGGTCCTCTACAGCAACTGGGGAGGAAGAGTGTGCTCAGACAACCGAACACATTGGTAGTCCCTCACGTGGGTAATCCCACTAGGGAACAACCCCACATAGGATAACTCCAGCATGGATAACCCCAGCATGGATAACCCCATTGAAACACTCCTGCTCAGCCTGAGACAGGACAGAAGGAAAATTTTCTTCCAACCCCAGATCTAGCAATTAATTTAAAATTTGTGCCTGAGCAAGATGCACCAGCCTGGATCCAGAGACATTTTCCCTCCACCCCAGGGATCTGCAGCTCTGTTTCCCACTCCCTCCCGCTGCAAGCAGTGGGCTGCAGAGCAAATACTGTCTTTTCTCCCCTCTCCACCTCTTTGTGCCTCCCTGCAGCTGCAAAGGGGACTCTGAGATCACGTTTCTCTACAGGAGGCTGCACAGAAGAGAAGGACGGGCTCTGCCCAGCGACTTCAACAGGTTTTAAATCAAGAACAAATTAACCACCCTTAAATTGCAATGGGAGTGTCTTTGTTTCTGCCATCCTAGGGATACTGCAGGCTTTAGCCCCCAGTAGGTCTTTTTTTTCCCTCCATATCATGGGATTCAAAGGCTAAATCAGGGCTGGCTGGTAGCTTTCGGGTTTGTTTAACCATATTGGATGCTGGGCAGCTCAGTAAAAGCCTCAACGAATCCCTGACAGTGAATACTTATAAATAAAAAAGCCCAAACACCCAAGTTAGGAAGAATTGGAACAAAAATACGAGTTTCCATCTGCACAGCATCACTGAAACCTAGAAATATCGACATGTGGCCAAAGCCACCTCTGGGGTGGCGCAACCCGTCCCCGGGGCACCAACGGAGGGGGAGCGCGGCGGGCAGCCCCCGTTTCCCACCGCAGCCACCACCTCCTCCTTCTCTCTTTATTTCGAGGTGACAGGCTGAAAGGGGCCGTGATTGACGGGCGCTTCCCGGCTGCTGTCTGTCT